ATTGGTACCAGGGTGAAGTTTATGGTAAGTTTTTCCTCATAAAACTGTATCTTGATGTGTGTTTGTTTTTTCGCTGTAGTTTGTCGCTGCCCGTGTGTCGAGCCCTTTATTCATTTATTCATGAAATAAATGGAGGTTAAAGGTTTTAAAGGTGTTTTTCAGTGTTTGGACAGAACTGATCCAGGATGATCAGGATCCGTTCAGAACCCTGAGCTCTGGTTGTGTTCGTGTCCTCAGCTACATGCAGACCGGCTCCACGTCTCTGAAGCTCATCATGAAACACTTCTGGACTCTGATCTCAGAAACTCTGAAGGCCTCGCCAGCCGTGGGCGTGGACATCACCCGAGAGGAGCGGTGAGTCCCGCAGAACCTCCTGCTGTCAGGAGAGTCTGATCTTAACTCAGGACCTGATCCAGACCTGAGAGGTTCTGCGTCTCACTGACGTTTGTTCCTGCAGACACCTGAAGTGCTGCGAGTGCTACAAGCACCTGAAGAACCTGAGCAACATCGTGAAGAACCGAGCCGGGCAGGTCGGGCGCCACGGCAGTGCCTTCAAGGAGCTGCAGCTGCTCATGACCCCGCTCCACGAGGCCCTCTGAGGACCGCCGAGAGCCGGATCAGCTGATCTGATCTCTGAGAGCCCAGAGGAAGATGATCCAGTTCAGTTCAGAGAAAAACTGCTGGAACCACAATCCTGCAGAACACAGACGAGATCACTTCAGGTCCAACAGTTTTAGTTCAGTGAGACCGAACGGATGCAGTTTGTGCTTTTTTTAATTTTTTTGTTTTTATGAACAGACTGAACCTTCAGACGGACCGTTGGACTGAACCGGTCTCAGGTTGGACTGAACCGGTCTCAGGTTGGACTGAACCGGTCTCAGGTGGGACAGAGACCCTTGTTAATGAACTGCTCTTGAAAGTTTCAGAAATTTTTTTTATGTTTTAAATGTTAACTTGTATAAAATATAAAAAGTTAAATAAAAAGTGTTGAAATGTAGATTATTAATGTTTAAGTTGTTTGTTTGAAGTTGAGTTTTAATAAGGGACATGTTTTTTTTCTTTTTGCTCCCTTTTCATTCAATAATAATTTTCTTTTTTCTTTTCCTAATGGTTCTTTGTTTATTTTAAGAATTAAATAAATTATTAAACTAAAAAAAATTTTAAATGCTATTTTACTTTGTAATAAATTTTTATAATTAATGAGCTGCTGTATTCATTGCAGCTTTGCAGGTTTTAAACCATAATCTGACAGCAGCAGGAGAAGTTCTGCAGGACTGAACGTCTTTCTGAGCTGCTTACAGCAGGGCCGGCCCGTCTAATAGGCAGAGTAGGCGTTTGCTAAGGGTGCTGGCCCATCTGGGGGCACCATTAAAAGGAAAAAAACTTTTTGTTTTAAAACTGACATTGTTTCCTAATAAAAAAACATTTTAAATCCTACATATAAAAATAACAATACTTTGCTTATCCCACCCCCTTCCACAACTTGGTCTGTTCCTGCACCTGAGCTCCCCCTCTCCCTCCCCTTGAGTGAGCTTAATGCTACGTTTACACCAAACGCGTTTTGCGCCTCCAAAAATCTCAAAACGCACGCATCTCGATGCTGGTGTCCAGTGAGGACAGACGCTCAGCACCTTGTGAATATATTTCTGTGAAAGGCGCTTTATAAATAAAACTTTACTTTTGATGTGAACGTAGACGCGCTTCTTTAGACGCTCGAGGGGAGGAGCCTTTTTAACCGTAGTTTCGATAACTTACCAAATATGCCGACTTCCTCACAAATCGTCCTCCAGGTAAAGTCCTTTTTCTTTCAATCACGATAACGGGCACTGGAATGATCATAAATGATCAGACTATCAGTTTTTCCTCCATTGTTTGTGTGATCCGATTTCCCGGGCTTCCGGTGTTTCCGGCTCGTCAGCAGTGCGTCACTGAACAGAGTCTCTGATTGGTTGATGCGACGCGGCGAGCATCAAAAGTTCAGATTTTCCAACTCGTGCGTCGGACGCTTGGGACGCGCTGCACCATCTGAAAACGCTCAAGACGTGCGAAACGCTTCGAAACGCACTGCTCCAATGCCGCCAGATTCGCTGCTCGGTTGCTAGACGCCTCTAGATGCGCGTCCACCATTGACTTTACATGTAAACCAGATGCTCCTGATGCTCAAAACGCATTTGTACGCAATGTACCATAAAACCTTGTTTATACTACATCGCTGTCTGGAGACTGACAGTATTTTCAGATGATGATGGGGAAAAGTTCCATGTTTAGATGGCGCTGCGTCACCTTTGCTGTGTCTCAATTCATTGGCTGGGTCTTCATGAGCACGTAGCCCAGCTGGGCCACGTCCTTCCCAGTCTGGATAGGCTGCTCAAAACTGCCGTGAAATGAGACGGTCTAACCTTCGCTTGACGTAAGTTTGCGTGACCACACGCTCCCCCTGTTATCATAGTGATCGGTTCATATCTGACTGAAAATGCGTCCGTACATGTATTTACACTTCACAGTTAAATTGTTACACGTAATTAAATAATTTGGGTTTAGAGCCAGTATTTTTTCATTTAACATCTTATTCAAGATTCAAAGTGTTTATTGTCATAGGCACAGATGAAAAACATGTTTCTCTGAGCAGTAAAATTCTTACTTTGTCGTCCATTTTGAATGCCGAGAGATGACCATGTTAAAAAAGCGAATCATCACAGAAAGGACACAAACAATGTTGATTAGAATAAAAGAAGAGACTAAACTAAGGATAATAACATCAGAAGGGAACAACATAATAATGACAACAGGAAGGGAACTGTGGGGGAAGCAGTTCACTAACACTACGCTCGGTGAAGGTGGGGTGCTGTTGACCTCAAACAGTGATGTCGTCGGGAGGTGGGAGGAATACTTCTCGGACCTCAACCCCACCGGCACGTCTTCTATGGAGGAAGCAGAGTCTGAGGACTTTGCTGGTCTGTCCATAACTGGAGCTGAGGTCTTTGAGGTAGTTAAGGGGCTCCTTGGCAGCAGGGCTCCAGGGGTGGATGAGATCCACCCTGATTTCCTCAAGGCTCTGGATATTGTGGGACTGTCCTGGTTGACACGTCTTTGCAACATCGCGTGGACATCAGGGGCAGTGCCACTGGATTGGCAGACTGGTGGTTCCCCTTTTCAAACAGGGGGACTGGAGGGTGTGCTCCAATTACAGGGGCATCACTCTCCTTAGCTTCCTTGGTAAGGTCTTTTCAGGGGTACTCAGCAGGGTGGCTGAACTCTCCCTCAGAGATAGGCTGAGAAGCTCAGTCATCCAGGAGAGACTCAGAGTCGAGCCGCTGCTCCTCCACAGCCAGAGGAGCCAGTTGAGCTTGTTTGGGCATCTGGTTAGTATGCCTCTCTAGGGAGGTGCTTCAGGCATGTCCAAGTGGGAGGAGGCCCAGAGGAAGACCCAGGACACGCTGGAGAGACTGTCTGTCGGCTGGCCTGGGAACACCTTGCAGTCCTCCCAGAAGAGGTGGCTGAGGAAAGAGAGGTCTGAGCCTCCCTGCTCAAACTGCTGCCTGTGACCCGACTTCGGATAAAACCGAAGGTGATGGATGGATGAAAAAAAAAACTTGCTTCAGCTTAATAAACTGAACAAATGTTAGTCTGAGAGTGTTGAAAATGGTTTGAAAGGTATAGATATTAAAAATTCTGATTTCTTGAAGGAACACACAGTATGTCCTGCTGACTTTCACAACAGATTTTAAGTCTAAAATCAAATAAATAAATAAATAAATGCATTTTTATAGGGAGTTTAGATCAAATCTTGAAAATCCAGACAGTCTGTAAAACAATATTTAACTGAGTTTCTGTAACTTGTATTCATAAGGTATTTTGCTATCAGACAGAAAAACAAACGTTAAAGCCTTACTGCCCACCTGTTGCCTGTCAGCAGCAGGCCTTATTTACAGTTTTATCTGTGTTTCAATAAAAACAGAAATGAGGAAGCATCCAGTAGATGAAGCCTCCTCCTTTAAGCTCAACGGGAAGTTTCTTCAACACAAAACTGTCAAACATGAAGCCGACGTCCAGATTTTCTGTTGAAACGTGGACAGAGGAGCCGCGACACGTTTAGGGTGAGTTTACAGCCTTTTCTCTGCGACAAAATAATCTGATTCAAAGTTTGTTCAAGACACAAGACACTACAGACAAAAACATGTTTTAACTCTTACACCATTTATAAATGTGGAGTTGTGTAATAACTTCTGTTTTCTATCAGACAGGTTGTGAAAAAAATTAAGTAAAAATATTGATGGTTGTTGTACAACGGAGTTTATAATCAGAAAACTTTTACTTTTAAAGTGTTTTGTTGTTAAATACAAGGAGATCAGTTTTTACTCAACAGTTTGTGTTGTCTTGTGTTACATTTAAAATAAAAGAACCAAACTCTTCAGAAACTTGTGAAACAACTAGAATATGTTTCTGACCCAGTCGGCTGAAAAAAGTCTGAACTCTGATTAATGATGATGCAGCAAGAATTTAATATTTATAAAAACTAAACCTAAATGGACATCTTTGTGTTTCAGTGTCAACATGATGAGCCGTCCACAGGAAGAAGACGAGAAGATTCATGTGATGGAAAATCAGCAGGAAGGTGAAGAAGCTGCAGTCAAGCAGAAAATCTGAGAATAATAAATTGATTAAATGTTTATTAATGATTAAAACTATTTACCTTAAAGTAACGTTATTTAGACAAGTTATTTAGACAGTGCTGATACAGTCAAACTGCATCATGATTAGAGGGCTCAGATAACTCCATGTCTCTGTGGTTACATACTGGTTTCCTGCTTTTTAGGCTCCATTATCAGATTAATTTATAGGTTTTAAATCTCTTTGTTATTTTACACATTGTAATGTTAAAATATTCCGTTTGTTTATTTTTCATTTCATTCTGTAGAATCACCGTGATAAGATGCTGATTGTACGTTGGATGGTTTGTTGCATGGTTGACTGGTTGGATGAGTGGTTGGCTGGTTGGATGAGTGGTTGGCTGGTTGGATGAGTGGTTGGCTGGTTGGATGA